CTGAGGCCAGGAATGCTGTTAATATCTTACAATGCACAGGACAGCCACCACCACAAAGAATTATCTGACTCCAAGTGTGAATGTTGCTGATGTGAGAAACCCTGCTCTATGCCCTTTGCTGTGTGAACTGGCAGTGAATATGTTTCTCTCTTCCATTAGAAGCAAAAAAAAAAAAAAAAAAAAAAGCAATGGGTCTGCTGCCCATGCACAAAATAGCCTGGTCCACTTGGCTTGGACCACATAGTCTATACAGGGATGCCACATAGGACAGTGCACAAGCTGCCTGGCTGAGGGGTGAGTAGGGCTGACCTGGGTCTGATGGCCCACTGACCAGGTATAACTGTATCTAACCAGAGAGGAAATCTTTTCCCAATTTTCATGGATTCCCAGCAGTGGCAGAAGAGGAAGCCAGGCTCTTTCCTGCATCGCAAGCTAGGTTTACATTTTCACTTACTAAAGTTTCCAGAGAGTTCATGTTATTCTTTGAGTTCTTAAGAAGGACATGATGAACTGCCTGTTACATAAGTAAGCAGACCTCATAGGTGGCACAGGTTGTTTCTAGGTACATAGCCTGTAAGCATCATTCTGGGGTCCCCTTCCTTCCATCTGACATCCTCACCAGAAGCTCATGGTCTTCCAAGAGAATCTGACTATTGTTGCAGGGTGAGGATCTTGATAAACACCATGGTGGTAGGCAGAAGTCTAAGATGCCCTCAGGTTTCTCATCTCTGGTATACAAACCATGTATAATTCCTGGGACTATGAGATATGATGAGATACCACTCCCATGATTATGTTATGTCATAAAGAGGTTTTACAGATGTAATTATGTCTTAAATCAGTTAGCCATAAAATAGGCAGATTATCTGGCTGGGCCTGATCTAATCACAAGAGCCCTTAAAATCTGAGTTTAGAGGTCAGCAACAGAGGAGATCAGAACTTCAAAGCACAAGAAGAATTTGACGTACCATTGCTGACTTGAAGATGGAGGGGCCAAGGTGGCAAGAAATGTGGGCAGCCTGAGAGTGGCCCAGATGACAGCAAAGAAATGGAAACCTCAGTCCTACAACCAAAAGGAAATAAATTCTGCCAACAGCAAGAATGAGATTGAAAGCAGATTCAACCCTAGAGCCTCCAGAAGAGAACTCAGTCCAGCTAATACCTTGATTTTAGCCCTAAGAGACTGTGAGCAGAGAACTTAGTCATACTGCCTTGGACTTCTGACCTACAGAGCTGTGAGCTAATAAGTGGGTATTGTTTAAGCTGCTAAATGTATGGTCATTTGGTACACAGCCATAAAAAGCTAATATAACCATGAACAGACTTCTAGTCACAGCAAACACCTCAGGCCCTTTGCTAACCATGAAACATTTATTTTCCACTAATCCACACTTTCTTTCCACACCACTATAAGTGCTGATAATTTACCTGAGGTCTTGCAAGCTCAGTCATATCTGAATAAATTTTTTCATCATAAGACCAAAGGAATTTGCTTTTCACAGAGTTAAACCATAGTTCCCTTTAATATTTCAGGCATACTCAAGGTTGCACCTGACCTTAATCACCCAGTAATGTTCATTTTAAGAGTTTAAAGCATATTACATCTAAAACAAGATGCAAATGTAGTATCCAAAAAAAAGCAGTCACCCTAATACTGAGCTTTACAGGGGTGCAGTAGGATTTCACGGCAGGCCCTCCTGATCATTTAATATTCACTTCGTCTCCACCGGAGACTGTGAGGCTGAATAGAGATGATGTCTTGGCATTGTTAAACATAACTCCAGAGTGTGTGCCTGAAATGCATTCTGGTTGCTAGAAGATGTAAGATATAAGAAGCTGGGCTGCTTCACACTGATGTAGCTCTTCCTACTGAATCCACAAGCTTAGCCAGAGTAAGAATTTTTAAGTATGTGGGCCAAATGTTCATCTTGCAATTTGAGGAATATTTAAAAAGTTATCCACCAGGTCCCACTATAATTTGAAAGATATATTGGAAAGAAGTATGGGGACTTGAGAGAAGATGTTTTGATCATGAATTAAAATTTCATAACACCACTACAGCGTTTTTGATGGTACTTTTGTCTGCCTGTGAAACATTTCCCTTGAGTTCAGCTGTGCTATTTGCATTTTTAATATTCAGTTGTTTCTAATTTATACCCAGACTTTTTGACCATGTTTATATGAGACTCTAAAGAAAGCACTGGCAGTTTCCAACTGTTTTCTACAGAATGCTCCTGTAAGTTGCTTTTAAGCAGATCATTGCACAAAAACATTCCTTTTCACTTGAAAACACTTTAGTAAAGGAATAAAGTGTTCCTAACCAATGAGTAGCATCAGAAAAGTTATAGTTATAACAAATATATAAAAAAAGAAAAGATCTACCATAAACTCCTCTGGATAATTAAAAATGTACAGAAATTATATTTGTTTCATAAAATGAACATAAACATAACATAAATACAGATTGTGATTGCATTTAGTATGAACCAATATATGGCTATTATTTAACAATTGGGCTTGTCTGTTTATATTTAGAAAGACTTTAAAATGTTGTTAAATGGTCTAGTTTGTTTTTAAAGTTTCTTAGGAGTTGTTGACCAGATATCAGTTTCTCTCTTATAAGTTTCCTGGAGCAAGGGATGGTGTTCAGAATCATATTAATGGTCACAAAATTACCCTCAACTTCAGAATTGTTTTTTCAACAAAGCACTGATTAGCTAGTGCATATGCATATATATGCATTTACAGGTGTGTTTGTGTACATGTGCATGTGTGTGTACCCACACAGCAGAACCAGAAGTCTGCCTTCTCTTCTGATTTCCCTGCCTATCCTTCACACCCGACCCTCCTCCACCCACCTACCTCCTCGCTCCTCTCTGTCTTGAGTTCACACTGGTGTAAGTCCTAAATAGCAAAATATGGAGAGGCGAAGAGGAGAAGAATATTTGCCTTCATGTGAGGAGGACTTGTGGAGCAAAGGATGAGAAAAAGAGGGCTGGCACTGGCTGATTGTATTGATATTCCTAGTTTTGTACCAGTTGACTACAGTATTTTTTCTACCTCCTCCTTCCTCTCTGCTAGAGATGGACCCAATAAATAAATCAGTATGACGGGAAATGAGGTACCTACACTAAATAAAAATAAGCTTAACAATAAAATTCAAAACTTGAAAAGTGGGAATATTCCCTGTTTATTCTGCTTCTTCATCAACCTTGGAATTCTACTCGCATCAGTGAGGGGTGGGAAGGAGTACAGGGTGAAGTGAGATAGCTGTGGTGGTTTGTTAGTTAGTTTTCCTGCCCTACATATTCCTCTTCTCTTCCCTTCTCCTCTGGTCACAGAGGTGGACACCTGACATGAGCTTACCTATTGGAGTATCCCTTTTTCTGAACACAGTGACTTACAGCATGTGATTCAAGAAAGGCCAGTTGGGTTTTCTCACCGGAATTCACATACAGATGATGAAAGAGAGAAATTACCCTTATGTTGGTATGAATAATCTGGGGCTACCAACAGCCACTGTCCCCAGACACATGGAAAGAACTTGTCTGCTGAAAAAGGAGAGCCAAAAACAGAGAGAACAGAAAGGGATGGATGGAGGGATGGGTGGGTGGATGGATGAGCTCCTTTTTATCTTCCTTTAAGGGGACACAGGTGCCAAAACTGTGTCCCAAAGCAGAAAAGTATCTCTCTCCAATCTAATACTCTACTCATAGACCATGGTTTTTAATCAAATTCATTAACTACTTTGGCTCAGTTTCCCAGTGCTGGCAACCTGAATTCTCAAAGTCCTAGGAAGATTTTTAATGAGCCCCTAATCTTCAGCAAGAAAAAGGTCTGAGTAACAGGCACTGTCCTCTACTAAGGTCTACTGGCATTGGACCAGGTAGTAGCCAGCACCACCTTGTGACCCATTCTTTGGAGAAACTCTTCTATCTTTCATCTATGTCTTTTCTCAAATAGATCCTCAGCTTCTCATCAAGTAGACTCCAAGGTGGTATTCGCATACCAGTGCTCAAAAGCATATCCAGATTTTAGGATAAACACAGCTTAGACCCAAGTTTGAGTCCTGGAAACCTGTGCTCATCTTCTTTTCTACCACTTGCCCCCTCTACCCTCTGCTGCCGTTATTTGGCAGATGATGTGTTTGCTGGGCCAATCACTGGGGTGGGGCAGGGGGCAACATGATGGCTTCAGCCACTTAACATTTATATGGAACTTCTGAGCCCAAATAAAGACAAAACTTGCAAGTATAAGGAATGATTTAAAGTCACCTCGGAACATACCATCTAGGAATAATATATAGGATTTGTTTGGATCCTGAGTCAAACAAACCAATAATAAAAAAACACCATGAATGTTCCAATCAGAGAACTGAACACTGGTAGGATATTTGATGCCAATAAAATACTGTCATTTTTTAACATGTGATAATGTTACTATGATAGTGGGTTTTTTTTAAGTTACTATCTTACAAGTACATACTGATGTGTATCTGGATAAAATGATATGATGGCTGAGATTTGCTTCAAAGTAAACCAGTCAGGGTGAAAGAGGTACAGAAAAGTAGCTGGGGAGAGAGATAAAATACATCTGGTGAGAATTGTTGAAGTTGGGTAATGATTACATGCGACTTAATTGTAGAATTCTGTCAACTTCTGTCTATGCTTGAACACTTTCATAAGAGAAAATTTTCAAACAATTTCATCCATCTCAAAAGGCCATGGTTCCAGAGTTTCCTCACTATAAGCAAGTGAACATATTTATATTTGCATTTCCCAGATGCAAGAAACTTAGTTGCCCAGTGGCAACTGTCTTGAAATGTCTAGTTTCCACCAAAAATACCACAAGAAAGTCAAGCTTTGTACATCATACCAAGGTAAGCTAGAGAAAGCAATGTTCCATCAAACCACAAAGATTTAGAAAATGTCTGTTATACTCGAACAAAACAAAAATTTTAGTAATATCTTAGCTTAAGCCAAAGCACCATATCTCCACCTTCTGGGGTCAAAGAAGAGGTTTCTAATCGGAGGCAGAGAGACAATCCCCTTGAATACATCCAACCGCCACAGGAACCCCAGGAATTCCTTCTCAAGAGGTCAGTTTAGACTAGATATTCATAATGTGGGTTTTCAATGCCACCAACCACTTCTCAAACATTACTACTTCAAACATATCCATCATTGTATTAGTCAAAATTCTCCAGAGAAACAGAACCTATACGATATATGTAGATATATAAATAGGCATAGCAGAGATTAATTATAGAAATTGACTCACTTGGCTATAGAAGCTGAGAATTCCTATGATCTGCCATCTGCAAGCTGGAGAACCAGAAAAATCAGGTGGTGATGGTGTAAGTCCCAGTTTGAGTCCAAATGCCCAAGAACCAGGAGCACTGATTTCCTAGGGCAGGAGAAAATGAATGTCTCAGCTCAAGCACAGAGAGTGAATTCACCATTTCTCCACCTTTTTGTTCTATTCAAGCCTTCAGCAGACTGGATGATACCCACCTGCACTCATGAGAGTGATCTTCTTTATCCAATTTACTGACTCAAATGCTAATTTCTTCTAGAAACAACCCCACAAATACACCCAGGAATAATGTTTTACCAGCTATCCAGGCATCTCAGCCCAGTCAAACTGACACATAAAATTAGCCATCAGAAATATATTAGAAAAAGGATTCAAGGATTATTCCATGTGGCATTCAGAGCCTGTTTTAAACCTTTTAAGCCTGTTCAGTTACACATCTTTCTAAGCAGAAAAATAATCCACATGAATGGAGGCCCCAGGGTGCCTAATATGTCTGTCCCTCATTTATTCCTACCAAATCACTATGAGTGTATCATTGCTATCCTCTCAGAGAAGGAGTCTCTCCTTGGTTTTAAACATGCGCAATAAAAGTGACCTTTGAAAACTGTGTGTTGAGTCTCTGGCCAAATCACCCTGAATAGATCCGATCTCACCTGAAAACTGTGTGTTTAATAACATTCCATGGTCTGCTGTGCATCATCTTTATTGACCGTGAGGCAGATGTTAGCTGCATGGCAGAACTATCATCTGAGCCTCACTGGACACAGAATCTTTTGGAAATAATTTGGCTTTACTCTCCATGTGGACCCAGCAGGATTCAGTAAGGGAGGCAGATGGTGTGGTGAGCAGAGTTCAGCCTAGCTTGGAAGAAGGAGATGCCATCTGAATATCCCCAAGTGCGCCCCTGGGGCATCTCCTCTCCTGCCTCTTGTAGTCTCTGGTACTGTCAGCTCTTGTCAGCTGTGGGCTCTGATCACCCTCATCCAGAGCAATGGAGGTCCACATCCAACAAGGGGATGCAACTGTCCTCCTTGTCTCTAAGCCAGTGATCAGGTAAGGTGGGAACACTGAACCATACGTTCCCACAAGCCCATCCCCAGCCTCACTAGCTTTACCTTTCCTCCTTATTTAAACTCTCCATCTATGGTTCTCAGCCATAAGCATGCATCAGAATCACCGGGAGGACTCCTTACATCACAGATTGCCAGCTGCACACTAGAGCTCCTGATTCAGTAGAATTTGCACTTCTAATGTACTCATCAGCCAGGGAATGCTGATGCTGCTGGGCTGAGGGCCACCCTTTGAAAAGCACTGCTCTAGAGATTTCCTAGGGTCTGAAGCCTTTATCTGAATCCCAGTCTCTTTGGTTTGTGCCTTCCTCCTCCTTGGCCTGGACATTGGCCTTAATACCAACTGGCCAAAACAAAAAGATCATGACACAAGAATCAGCCTGATTCAGCTTTAAGACACCTGCTGGTTCGCTATGAGACCTCCACTTAGACACTACTTAAGATGTCACCAACTCTGACGAAGACTAAACCTTCCATATGTTCTAGGGCACTGTGCTTTGAGTTGTTGCTACTGACTCAATGCCTGTCCTAAAATTGGGTTAAATTCCCTTAGTTCCTGTCCCAATCATTCCCAGGTTTCTTCCTGCCCTGCAGCCCCAGTGCTGAGGTCCTAACCCTATGTAAGCAAGTGAATAGGACAGTGTTCCACCCCTCTACACCTCTCTCCATTCCTGGAAGCCCACATCTCAGGCCACCGAACTGACTCTGGTGCTTGCACCGCTGATTTGTCTTGCATTACTATTATTGTTATTATTATTAATATTCCCTTGTCCAGGACAGGGTAGGCCTCAGTTCAAGCCCGACTGTATAAATAACTATCTGTGAAGAGTTTGATTAAATGTTTTTACTCCTCTGGGCCTCAGGACTGAAAGAAACAATTTGTAGATCCCAGGCTCCACCAGCAGATGTTTGATTTCAAGGGGTGGGAAGAGGACCCAAGCTTTGCCATTTTCTCAGAACTCCCTTGTTGATTACAATGTGCAACCAGGGTTGAGAACTACTGATCCTTCCCTTCATTTCACAAATAAAGACACCAAGACTCAGAGAGAACAGTGGCATATCAAAGTTCCACAGACAGATACTGGGATCTGACACTAGGATTCTGTCCTCCCAATTCCTAGTTCAGAGATCCATGTGGAAACTGGAATAGATGCCAGCTTCCCACTCCTACTGGCCTGGTCCAGAGCAATGGTTATTCCAGCTTGGCTGAGCCTGTGGAGCTTGTTAAAATGGAGATCTGGAATTTCAACCCAGACCTGCTGGCTGCATGGGGATCCCCACGGGGTACAAGGAAAAGAGGGTGACTGGAGAGCTTCCTAGAGGTCAGAGTGTGCCATCAGCATCCTCCAAGCTGCAGCACATTCCCTCTTCCAACCAAGTTAGTATCCTGGCTCTGGTTTTGCCCTCCATTCCATGGCTGTGATGCTCTGAAGAAACCTCACACTTGACTCTAACTTGGGCTCCAGATTTCAGGCCCCAGCTTGGCATCTTGGCCTGTGACTCTCACTTTCTCTCCCTCTCTCCCCAGTCTCCTCAGCTGTAGAGGTTGTGTGCCTCCCTTAAAAAGGACCTGATTCTATCACTGCTGGGCAAACCTTCAGAGAGCTTCCCTGCCCACACTAAAGCAACCCAGCCAGTCCTCTCAGGGACTGGAAAACTGGACTCATTATACACACTATTAGCCATAAAGGCTTCAGGAACTATTAGAGAGAAACAAAAGTTCCCCCAGTGGCTTCCATAGATGGTCTAAAATGTTTGTCATTGTCCTCAAACAACAGATTGTCACAGGGACATATAATTCAGTGGAGTCTAAGCAGACCCCTGGCTCCTCACTGGATTATTTATGTCATTTATTGGGAGCTTTTAAAGAATTGTTTTTCTCAGTCAGCCAAATGCACTGATGGAAGCGCATTGTCAGCCTTCAAAAACCAGAATCACATCATTGTCCAGTAAATATGTTCCTGCTCTTTTACAGAGTTTTAAAATTGTGCTCCACTGAGGAAAAGAAAAATGGTATGTGTGTGAGCATGGATTGAAATTCCCGCACACTTGAGGGACGGTCAGCTGGGGTTTGGGTATCTTTCAACAAAACGCAGCAATTTATTTGTGGAAATCCCATTATAGCTAATAGGAGTTAAAAAACATTTTAAAAGATGAGGATGTCTAGTCATTTCAAGATTATTTTGTAAAATGTGCCCCGCTAAAAAAAGGAATGAATTTTGCAAAGAACGTCACAAACCTACTCATACCAATTCAAGTCACATAAAACAATTAAAACTAAATATATCTGATACCAGAGCTAACTGCTTTTTTAAATCTCTCTTTAAATACACCAAGCTTGAAAATTCTCACTGCTAGGAAAACATACACTGCACACTTAGACATCAATGGCTATTCTCAGGCAACCTTCTTTAAGCAAGATAATTGGATAAAATTCTAAATTAACATGAAGGGAGACAGTACTGTAATTTATAGAAGTGGAAATTTCAAACATAAAGAACTTTCAAACTGGAGTAAATCATATCTTTGAACCTTACTGCTCAACATGGTTAGTAGCATCATCTTGGATAAAGACACAGAAAGAAAGCTCTTCCAATTTACAAGGGAAACAAAACTGAGTCAAATAACTGATCCAATAGAGAGTAAAATAAAGATGATTCACATTGATTTTGACAGGCTTGAAGAAATTGTACCCTTTGTTAAAATAATTCTATTCTGCCTCTGGAAATTGATGCTAGGAAAATAATCCTAAAAATGTTCGAAGAGGAAAGAAAAAAGAAAAAGACATGCTTAAAGATGTTCAATACAGTCTTATTTATAATAGGAGGTATAATCATAGCATGTAAATATTGCACAAATATTTCAATAAATTAAAATACATTCACTCAATGAAATATAATGATGCAATATTTATGGAAAGTTACATAATAAAAAAAGATCTTGTTTTACTGTTAAGATTAGAAATCAGGATATAAAATATAGGATCAAAAGTCCTTTTTTTTTTAATCAAACAGATAGGAGAAAATAGTTAGAAGAAATATACCAACATGGTATCAGTTTACTCTTTCTTTCATGGTCATAATTCCCACTCAACACAATGGCCTACTCTCTCCACAATCTAACACCTACTTGGGCCAACATGTAGGGGGTTACTTTTATTTTCTTTTACTTTCTACTTGTCTGTGATTTATAATTTCATATATATGAGACTGCAATTTCCTTCAGAGGATCCAGTTATAATAGGATTCTCTCACTAAAATTAAAAGCTAATACAGGTTCCTCCCTTTCTTCTAAAATGCAAATCCTGTCCCTAATTACTATAAGCTCCCCAGGGTCACCTGGGCCCTCTGCTCTTTCTGCTTCTCAGCCCTGAGAAATGCTGTTTATCATCCCAATTGTAGGAGTTTTTGGCCTCTGCAAACTTTCTGAGCTGGTTCTACTTGTTCTTTGAGTCTTTGCCACAACAAAGAAGAAGACAGTCCCTTCAAACCAACCCCTCAATAGTAGGTGCACAATCTATCAGTAACATTCTTAATAATGTGTTAACTATATGTGTTAACAATTGTGATAAAAAGAGATGTTTATCACACAGTCGCTGAAATGCCTTACACGTTCCTGACCATCTAATTCAGAGCTCTGTGGGTTACAAGTATCTGAAACTTTCTAAATCCAGTCCTCAGGGCTTTGGTGCATGTTGTTTTCTCTTCGCAGAACACTCTTTTCCCAGATGTTTACATGGCTTGCTCCATTGTTTACTTCCTGACTTTGCTCAAATTTCCCCTTTCTAGGAAAGCCTCTACAACCATATTATTTTAAAATTCTTGACCACTCCTCACTCACATCCCAGCACTCCCTATCCCTTTCCCCACTTTTATTTTCTCTGTTGCACTCAGCCTTTTCTTGCATATCATATATTTTTCTTAATATCTTGTGTACTCTTTCTAACTCTCCCATTCCTCATCCCCCACCGATTATCCCTCACAATGCAAAGTTCCAGGAGAGCAGAGGTATTTTTGTCTT